CTTACCGCATTCCTTCTGAACCTCATCTTGCCTCTCGGGGGATTTGCTTCTGCCATTTCGCCTATACACAATTACACTCTTCTTTTCCAATTGTCAATGCAACATTGATGAAATATGAGCTGCTTCTTGGGTGATATCGATAAACGGCAGCCAAAAATCTCTATCAAACAAAGCTACCGTAGCTGCTTCCATTACACCGTGGCAGCTATGCAAAAAAACCACTATCCCTGATTAGTCAGCTGACAGATTTCCCTGCTGCTCATTGTAATTCAGAGTTGACACATTCCCCCAATTACTTAGCCTGATTGAACCTTGTGGATTAGCTTGTGCTGGACTGCTCAAGAAGATCAGGCATGTCCTAAGAGAGGAAGAAGGAAAAAAATCGACTCTCCTCCTAGGAGCAGGCGCAGTTTGATTTTTAAGGTGGAATGCTAAGAATCTTTGTGAAGGTAGTATTAACTGATACCTTTTACTCCTCTCCTCTGCTCTGGGACTTAAATTTTATTGTTTTATTTCATTATTCCTATTCTGGGTTTAAGCCTTGTGAAAGGTTAGTTTGTGAAATTTGGTCCTGATAGTACTCTAGAAAGATTTAAAATAATACACTGCAGTTACACCTATCTGCACAATGGTAACTTTTGCCAGGAAGTCTTCTTGAATGCCCACTTTTGCTCTTAAGATTAACCTCTATTCAATAGTTACCTTTATTTCATACAGTGACCAATAGTTGAAATGCAATTACCATGCTCTTGCATATATGCATAGAAACCAAACTGGAAGCAGAAACATTCAAAATGTTAAAAAAAAAAAAAAGAAAGAAAGAAAAAGAAAAAGAAAGAAAAGACAAGAAAATGGGCCAGTAGATGGTGTAACAGTTGCTGAACTCCCACATGGCTGATCACAGTTCGAGTCCCTGACACAGTGACTTAAAACTCATACTGACCAGGTGGGTGTACGTCCCCAAGATCCTAGGAGGAGAATGAAGGAGAAGGAATTGCTGCATGGTCATCTCCTCTGGCAGGTGATTTCTCACTTCCCTTCTCACTGTCTCTATCTCTACCCCAGACCCACCCACCACAGTGAGCACACGCACCTTAAGGCAAAAACCTCTATATAAAAAAAAAAAATTCACTGGGACCAGCAGTTAGCGTAACGGTTATGTCGCGGGACTCCCACATGGTCGACTGCAGTTCGAGTCCCGGACCTGGTGGCTTAAACTCACACTGGGCACTTGTGCGTGCATGCCCAAGATCCTGAGAGGAGAATAGAGGAGAAGGGATTGTGGCATGGCCATCCCCCCTGGGTGGGGGGTGATTTCTCACTTTCTGTCTCTATGTCTCTCTCTGTCTGGCTGGCAAGCGCACATGCTCTATAGCAAAAACCTCTCCAAAAAAAAAAAACTCACTTAAAACAATCTATAGCCAGTTACACACCATCAGCACCTATGCCCCCACTCGTTCTCAGTACCATCAATGTGACAGTTATGAGAATACCTGAGTTTTTAGTTCTTTACTGAGCATGGTTCATACATCCCCACTGAAAGCAGCCCTCCCCAAGAAACAAATCATTACCCCTCTGTTCACCTCGAATTGATAGGATCAACACCTAATCTTATATATTTATTTTATGAAAAGTAAGAACTCTGTTTCCAGCAACCTCTTTGATTAGTGAGAATAAAACTCTACTGACAGTCTGATACCATGTGCTAATGAAACTAATTCAATCAAGGAGATATAGTGTTGGCCAAAAGCAAAAATTAACTGGGTAATAAAAATGTTTTCTTGCAACAGGTGCTATTTTAAGTATAAACAAATCAATTGTTGGCATAAACCAAGGTCTTCTCAATAAGCCCAAGGGCCAGTCCTAAAGACCAGAGCAAGGAAAATGGCTTTTACTACATTTGGCCTTATTGATAGGGTCCAAAAGAATATGGAAGACAGGTTTACTCTCCCCGAAGGAATTTTACCTTTTTTTTTTTTTTTAACAATTGAATTTATTTGATATATTTATAAGTCATTTGGAAAATGAAAAGAAAACAGTAGGTAGAAAGGGCACCAACTGGAATTCATAAAATTTTAATTCTTGCTCATGTGAATGCTTTTGAAAAAGCTTGTGTAAATCTGGTACCAATTCTTCTCTCTACTACTTCTGATTAAACATCTCTGTTAAACAAAACAAACAAACAAAGAAACAAAAAAACACTTTGCTGACTTGCCCAAATGAGGACTAATTTATGGTGGTTGTGAAAAGAGTGATGATCACATTTACTTTACCACTCGAGTGCCTATATAGATTTATTTATTTAGATTTTTTCTATATGGCATGTGTGCTTACCAGAGAGAGGCAGAGAGAGAAGGAAAGTGAGAAATCACCCCTAGCAGGGATAGCCATATCACAATTCCTTCTCCTCCATTCCCCTCTTTAGATTTTTGGCATGCACACTTTTGCGCACAGCATAGGAGTGTCAGTATATTTTTTATGCTTATTGACAAGACAGCACAACAAAATAACATTGACTCAATAGTCCAACAACCTAGACATTTGTCTTGTCTTTGCATCTGTAACTAATTCCTCTGGTGAGCCTGACCTCCTGGATCAGTCAGCAGATCAAATAAGAATTTCAGATGACTGACAATGTTGGAACCTCAAAGAAAAATACTTGTATTGATTGTCAGTGTCATCTACTCTGGTCTGATAGAGGAAGTTGGCCACAGGGTACTTCCACAGATAGCCTCAAACCAGCTCAGAAGGAGTCTGTGAGTTACTTAATAATCTCCTCTTCATTTATGAAAGGACAGTGTCAGGGTCAGCAAATGGTGTAGCAGCTACTTTGGTGGACTCCAACATGGCTGATGATGGTTTGATTCCTGGACCCTGCAGCTTGAAAATGACACCAGATGCATGTGAGTATGTGCCCAAGATACCAGGAGGAGAAGGGATTGTGTCATGGCCATTCCCCGGGGGGTGATTTCTCATGTTCCTTCTCATTGTCTCTGTCTCTCTGGTGTATGTACATGCCCTAAGGCAAAAACCTCTTAAAAAAAGAAAGGGCAGTGTCAGACAAAGTCACTGTTTCTTGGTGAGCCTAATAATGTGGGCAGAATTATATGTCTCATATATCAATAATTTCCTTTAAGAAATATACTTTTTCTTCCTGGGTCTTGGAAAGCTAGGAACTATATTCAAGTAGGGCAGCTAGGTTATATTGTGGGTGGCTCATCTTCCTACTCTATCCTAGGAGAGAAAAATATCTAGAAATATGCATACCACAGCCAGCTCTGTGGCCCAGTACTTAAGAGAGCTAGATTCATGGCTGACCATGTGGCTCGAACCCCAGCCCTGGTGGCTTGAAAAGCACACCAGGTGCATGTGGGTGCATGCCTAAAATCCTGACAAGAAGGAGAAAAAAGGAGAAGGGATTGTGGCTTGACCTTGCCCCATTGGAGAATATTTTTTCCTTCTTCTTATCTCTGTCTCTCTGACAATCCCTCTAGCAAGAAAAAATAAAAATGAAAATATACACCAAATTGTTCCAAAATGCCTATTTCTGCATGGTTGGATTGCTAATGCTTTAAACTTTCTTAATTTTTTAGGTTTTGTTATGTTTTATTTGTTTCTTTTTTTGCTAGAGGTCACATACACAGAAGAAAGACAGAGAGAGAGGGGGAAACTAAGAAATTAACCTCCAGGGAGGATTGTCACACCACAATCCATTATCCTCCACTCTGTTGTCAGGATTTTGGGCATGCATGTACATGTGCTGGTGTGTTTTTTTCAAGCCACTGGGTCCGGAACTCGAACCATGCACCCAGCCATGTGGGATACAGACTCTTTAACCTCCACACCATCTACTGGACCCTAAATTTTCTTTTTTAGACTATTCCACATGAAGTGAGAAAATAACAGGGCTATACCCTTTTTTTTAAGTTACCATAAAAACTTGCCTTATAGGCATAGCAGATGGCAAAGTGATTAGGGCGCTGGACTCCCACAGGGCTGACCACAGCTCAAGTCAGGACCCAGTGGCTTAAAAATCATGTCAGGCATGTGTGCCTGTGGCCCAAAATTCTAAGAGAATGGAAGAAGAAGGACTGCAGTGTGACCACCACCCCCCCCCAGAGGGGGATTTCTCACTTTCCTTCTCTCCGTCACTCTCTGTCTCCAGCAAGTGCACACACCCTATGACAAAGACCTAAAAAAAAATAAAGAAAAAGAAAGAAAGAAAGAAAGAATGAATGAATGAATGAATGAATGAAAGAATGAAAGAAAAAGGAAGAGAGAAAAAGAAAGGAATAAAGAAAAAGAAAGAGAGAAAGAGAAAGAAAGAAAGAGAGAGAGAGAAGAGAAAGAAAGAAAGAAAGAAAGAAAGAAAGAAAGAAAGAAAGAAAAGAAAGAAAGAAAGAAAGAAAGAAAGAAAGAAAGAAAGAAAGAAAGAAGAAAGAAAGAAAAGAAAGAAAGAAAGAAAGAAAGAAAGAAAAGAAAGAAAGAAAGAAACAAAGAAAGAAAGAAAGAAAGAAAGAAAGAAAGAAAGAAAGAAAGAAAGAAAGAAAGAAAGAAGAAAGAAAAGAAAGAAAGAAAGAAAGAAAGAAAGAAAGAAAGAAAGAAAGAAAGAGAAAAGGAAGAAAAAGAAAGAAACACACACACACACACACACACACACACACACACACACACACACAACTTGCCTTGCTCTGAATGGCATAGAGAAGCAGAGAACCAAGTCTCTTCCTCACCTCAAACCGCTCATTCTTTCTTGTTACGTTTTATTGGGTGAAATTGTTTACCTCAATCTCCTCTAGGAAATGTTACGAACCTAAATTCAAAGTGAGTGATTGATAGCTTGAAAGCAAGTGGAAACACTTTCTTTCCTACTTTCCCTCTTTATCATCTGATCTCTGTTTATTGCCTCCATCAGTATCAAAATAATCTGAATCCCCAAATCAGAAAGTTATAATATAAATGAAAAATAAGAAGGTACCATCGAATCCATAGGTACTTACTGAGATTTTCTGGAGAGAGATTTTGAGAGAAGACCATGTATCCAGTCTTCTATCCAGAATAACCGTAAACTGGGAATCAGATCCATTTTGCCTGCAAGATAAGAAGTAATACATTTTTCTTGGTAATAACCTAATTTTTCTCTACGTCTTTATTCCGTTTCTTATTATTTTATTTACACTTGCTGTCTTAACTGCTGACAAATTTGGATTTGGAAAGCTATCATAAAATGTTATCTTAGAAAAACAATTTGATTTCCTCTCTCTAGTTATTATTTAAAATTACTTTTCTCAGCACTAATGTCAATCTTTTAATAAAAATTGATAGTGTAATGAAGATAAGTCACTAAAATAGATTTGGAATACTGCAATGTTGGATGTAGAAAAAAACAAAAGAAAGTTGTCCTTCATAACATCATGAGCCAACGATCTATTCATTCAGAAAAACACTGTTAAATATGTTGTTCTATCTCTAGTCTGCTCTTTGAGGAAATGTAGTTTAATGGATAATAAAACTTCTATTTTCCCTAAAAAGACTACTTTGGGGACCAGAAGATGGTGTAATGGTTATGTCACTGGACTCCACATAGTCGACTGCAGTTTGAGTCTCAGGCCTGCCAACTTAAAACTCACATCGGGTGCATGTGTGTGCATGCCCCAAATCCTGAGAGGAGAATGGAGAAGGGATTGCAGTGTGGCTATCTTCCCTGGGGTGTGATCTCTCACTGTCTGTCTGCCTCTCTGGTGAGTGCATGTGCCCTATAGCAAAAATCTATCTCTTAAAAAAAAAAAAAAAAAAAAAAAAGAAAGAAAAGAAAAAGAAAAAAGAAAAACTTTCAAGTTGCAACATGTAAACTGTAAAATTAGTCTTTTGGAATTTGATTTTTGTTAATAGGACTTCTAATTTTATTTTCCTACATTTGTTGCCTCTTATTTTCCAGCGTTAGTAAATAGAAGATATTTCCTTTAAAAAGTTTGTCTTTGATACAAATAAAATGTCTAAGGAAGCTTTTGAAACTTCCCATTTTAAAATATAGTTCCAAATGATTTCTAATATCACAACAATTCTCCTAGTGTCTCCCAGTATCACTATTGAGTCTATTTAAGATTCAGTCTTCTAGCATTATCTTAGGAAGTAAAGCAGAATGGCTATCCTCAGTTTTGGCCAGTAAGATTTCCTTTTAAGCAAAGTAAAGTCTATAGGTATGATCATCATTCTCAACCTATGATTTTCTTCATGGGGACAAATACTTCTAAATCCCAAATGTTATTTTCATGGATATTCAGTATAATTTTTATAGCAAATTAGATAGTTGCCAGCTTCCCCTTCTAGGTTGTATTTCTTTATTTACTCTGAAGATAAATCTGCTGCCTATTCATAATAAGAAAAAAAAATACCTACACTAATAAACCATTTTCCTGTGATGACATTCAATGGGTACCTGATAAAGTTAAACAAATTTAAAATGTATATAATATAATGGGGGTCAGCAGGTGGCATGGAGGTTAGGGTGATGGGTCCCACATAGCTAGCTCCGTGATTCAAATCCCTGACCTAGTGGCTTGAAAATCATGCTGGGCATGTGTGCATGCATGCCCAAATTACCAAGAGGAGAATAGAAGAGAAGGGATTACAACATGGCCATCCTCCCTAGAGGGGTGATTTCTCACTTTCTATCCCTCTTTCCATCTCTGTCTCTCTCCAGTGAGCACACACTCCCTATAGCAAAAACTAAAAAGAAAAAAAGAAGAAAATGTATATAATGAAATGTTACACCTTGCAATAGACGTCAGGTAGGTGAGTACTTTTGCTATTACTTCCTCTGGTATGCATCTGAAATTATAGTTTTCTGGAATAGTAATGATCCAAGCATTGTCCTTTCCTCGGCCACCTGAAACAGTAGAACAAAATCAACCAAATTAACAATTTTGTTACAGTAATGCAAGGAAGAGAATTTTAGATTTGAGGGAGATAGTTAGAAGATAGTTTGGGGCCAACAAAACTTTCTTAAGGATGATGATCTCCACAGAAGCCAAAATGGCACCAAACTCCTGACACTTTACAAAGTGGCAAAGTGGTTTCCAAATGGAAGAAAAAGATAAAGAAAAAGAATGAATATGTTCATGAAAATTATTTATGGTCTATGTATAATAAATATACTTGGAAAAACAACCAATTCCCCAAGTTGAATAACCCAGGAGATTGGAAAATAACTATTTCTATGCAAATTTAATGAGCTTGAAATCAAAATGAATGATTGATTACTTGACAGCAAGTGGAAAACTTGATCTAACAGATCTCTTAGAATTATTGTGGGCATGAAAGCATACAGGGTACAAACTATAGGAAAAAATGATGGTCTAATGTAATTTATGGAAAAAAACAACAGAAGCAATAATTACAATAGTAGTATATATATACTACTATTATATATAACTATACACTTGCCAAGCAAGCTGCTGAGCACTCTGGTTAAAGACAGAACCATCTAGCACTTAAGCAAATCATACCTATCAAAGGAAAGAGACATGATTATTATAAAGGTAAGTTATCACTGACTAATCTGTAAACTGTTACTACCAGTGATCACCTACAATTACTGTGCTACATAGTGAATTTGTGAGAAAAGAACAAGAGATATTTTTATTTTTAGTTGAGAGGTTTTAATTATTTTTTCCCACCTGTGAACACTTTTCTCAAAAGAAACCACAGGTAGAAGAATTTTTCAAACAACTACAAAAAGGATATAAGGGAAGACAAGATCAACAGACTTATTAGAAGGATGAACTAAGGTATCCACCATGATTATTTCTGTAATCTGGTCAGTAAATAAACAGTGGCTGTTTTCACACTGGAAAAAAAAAAAAAAAGGATATAAAAAAGAAAAAGTATGGAGAGGAGCCCGATTGGGCAACAAGCCCTGAGGATGATTCTATTTGGAACACAGTTTGGAAAACCCTGACAATCTTATGTTAAATCTAATCTTAATAGAGAACCAAATATACCACTAAGAGTTTGTGATATATTAGGGGTCTCCAAAGAGTTCATGGAAAATCCATATTATGAAAAAACTACAGGTGGATTTCAACTTCTTTGAAACAAAATAGTCATAATTTAATTCTATTTCTTCACAAACTTTTTGAGGTCCCTTATATATTGCTACTTACATGATAAGTACCACGCTAGCTTTGCTAATTGATTTGTCAGACTAAATATATGAGAAAGATTGCTTACCAGACAAGAAGGCAATGTCTTGCATTAAGAAATGACTTATGTCCTTTACACGGATGAGTAGCTCAGTTTCTATGACAAACAAGAAAAAGGGGTAAATGACATACATATTAAAGTATGGCTAGAACATACACTTGATTTCTCACTGTGCCAAAAAGAACTCTGGGGCTCTCCTTCTTTCCTGCTCTCTACTACATGACAAAGAAATCAGGCTCTTGAAAATCACTGGGTAAGGATGACCAGTGACCCACTTCTCAGAATCTAGGCCCAGGTCATAAACTTCTTTTCCCCACCAGAAAGCCAAGGGCAAAAGTGCAACTCCAGGGCATACGGGATTATCTGAAGGGTAGACAGGCATATGGAGACTTTGTAGCAGATTGTCTTGTACTTCTCATAATGCCTTTAATTCTACCAAGCTCTATTAGCATTTACAAAGCTCTCTTCAGATATCTTTTTTTCTTATTGGATCCAAAAAAACCCTCTGAGGTAGGAATTATCATTCCATTTGATTAGTCATGAAGAGTCTGAGAGAGAATACAGGGTAGTAGTTAACCAGCCCCTCAGTGGGCTTCTGAGGCAGGTAGATCTGGATTCAACCTAGTTTATCAGTATTAAAACATGAGTAATTTATTTAGCCTCTCTGAACTTCACTTTCCTCATATATTGTGTTGTCAGAAAAGTCGTAATGTATTTTTTTTGTTTTTCTATGCAAAAAATATGTCATGACTTTATTAATGAAACAATATAAACCAGGCACAATACTATCTTAGGTGCTGTGTCAACTAAATGTGACCTACTGGCATATCAGTAGTTATTCAATAAACAGTAACATATTGAACAATTTATGAATGGTGTTCTATTTGTAATGATAACAATGAATTAATATGTTCATTTTTTATTGTTACAAATGGAACATCAGCCATAAATTGTTCAATATGTTTTAGTTGTCATAGATATTAAGTATTAAATTGTATTGTTTGAGTCTATTGAACTCTACAGGGGCCAAAAATCAAAGCCCACTACCTGTCTCTGGTCCATGAATAAAGATAACTTTTTAAAAGAAAATGGCTCATCAAACTAGGTTATTTTGGACTGTTAGTTTTAATGCCTGTGGTTCCACATCTCTTACTGGAGCCAAAGTTTCTGCCTGTTCCCTGACACAAAGTACTTTCAAAGACGTGATCTCTGGAGGTGTCAAGCTGATGAAACATCACCCTTCTCAGTCCTCCTCAAATCATACCATATAAATGTGGTTGACCAAGGTCAATGCTCCTCAAAGAATTTATAGTTCTCAATGACTCCACACTAGACAGTATAATAGGATATCTGTTACAGAAGGACCTCTCCTCTGATTTGAAACATAAAACAATTATTATAATTGGCACATTTATTTTCATATAATACATGCTATTATAAACCTGCAATTTGTCAGGACATAAAAATCATTTCTTTAAAGAATTATTTTACGCAATTTTATTCATCATTTTTTAAAAATTTGACCAGAGAGAGAGGGAAAGTGAGAAAGCAAGCTGCCAGGTATGGAACTTGAACCATAGTCAGCCACGTGGAAGTCCAGCACCTTGACCACCACCCCACCTGCCAGCCCCTAAAAATAATTTCTTAAAAATGTTTTCTGGGGGGCCAGCAGGTGGCATGGTAATTGAGGCATTGGACTCTCACATGGCCACAGTTTGAGTCCTGGACCTGGCAGCACTCGTTCTCTCTCTCTCTCTCTCTCTCTCTCTCTCTCTCTCTTTCTCTCTCTCTTTCTCTCTTCCTCTCTCATTATAATTTTAAAAATAATAAATAAAATTAAATAAAAATATTTTTTAAAAAAATTTTCTAGGGACCTGATGGTGGTATAATGTAAAATGCAATATTCTGTGAGGCAATCTCACATGGAAAGGTTCTCAGTTCAAGTCTGGAGATTCCTCTGAGTACAACCAGACACATGCTCACCCATGATCTGGAGCTGGCTGAGGGCTGAGAGTAAATTGCAGTGTTGAGCCCCTGATGGGAGTGTTGTCTCTTTCTCTGTCTGTCCTGCTCAGGGAAGAAGTAGGAGAGAGAGTTGGTAGTAGAGGGCAGGCAGGAGGGACTCAGGGAAGAACCACTCAACTGACACAAGAATGTAAAATTATCTGTTGAAAATGATGTGCATAACTCTATGATAGAGACAAAAAAATTGGAGGACATAAAAGCAGTGAAGGTACTTAATGAGAACAGGACAGTGTGGAATGGGGATAGTGAAGAGAAGAGGATAGAGAAAGATAGCAAGTGAACAATAGAGAGGCAGGACGTTAGTGAGAAACAGATGTGGCTTATTAACTGTTGATGATGACATGTATAGTATTCTCTACTGGATTGGTCTGAGAAGTATTTCATGATGGGCAAAGTATTTTTACAAGCAAAATGAGAAATAGTGATTGACTGTTTTAAAAAATAATTAGAATAATAATAATAATGATTGGGGAAAACATAGAAAAGATATCGAATGTTGAAGCGGGGAGATTAATGTCTTTGTACTGACTGACATGCATGGCATTCCCTTTTGAAAAAGCAATGTAATACACTGTAAAGTTATATGTAATCCAATGTAATATAAAGAAGATTATGATGATAATAAAAAATAAAAAAATATATTTTTAACATAAAAAATGAAAATGATGTACATAACATCCACAATTAGATGATCATGTATTGTATGCTTACGTTGAGAAACCACAGTGTGTGCTATAACTATGTATACTGATGCAACAAAAATATGAAATCATAAATTTTTTTAAAAATGTCTTCTCAGGCTGGCTCCATGGGCTGGTGATTAAGGCAGCTGGATGCCACATGGCTGACCATGTGGTTCAAGTCTCAATTCAGGCAGCTTGAGAAACACTTCAGTGTTTCAATTTTGGGTACATGTATGTGCATGCTCAAAATCCCCAAAGGAGGTGAAATGGAAGAGAAGGGATGGCAGTGTGACCAGGCCCCATGGTACTGGTTTCTCATTTTCCCTTTCTCTGTCTCTCTCTGGTAAGTGCACATACCCTCTGGCAAAAAAAAAAAAAAAAAAATATTTCTCCCAGGGCCAACAGGTGGCATGGTGGTTAACGTGTTAGATCCCACATGGCTAACTCTATAGTTCAAGTCCTGGACTCAGCAGCTTGAAAAACATACCAGGTACATGTGCATGCATGCCCAACATCCTGAGAAGAGAATGGAGAAGGGATTGTGGAGTGGTCATTCCCCCTCAAGGAGAGGTTTCTCACTTTCCCTCTCTCCCTATCTCTGTCTCTCTCCAAAGAGCACATACAGCCTATTTATTCTTTCAATGTTGTATGTTTCTTCAGATCAAGGCATGTGTTTATAACAGCCACAAACATGTGTCACAAATTGACATTTTTAGGTATAGAGACATGGAGGGTGAAAATGGGGTTACTGCAAAAAGGATTAGGAATCTCTACACCCTCAGGATCCTGAAAAAGTAGCAATGGTCACAATGTGTTCTATCTTATAAACAATAAACATTAGACATAAAACTATTCCTACATAATCAGAGACCCAAATTTTCCCTCTTCTTTGATGCGTGGGAATACCTACCAAGGTAAATTGATGACCTTTATGTCAAACAGCAGATCTGGAAGTACTAATATATACCATTCAATTCCTCCCATACCTTTCAGGCTCTTGAACAGCTATAGAAACTATGTTCATTTAGTCTACAATTTAAACAGCCATGTAATAATAGAGGCCTTGAGGCATAAAATAAAAGACTGTGAGCTGGAAGTGGAAGGACTAGGACTTAGAGTTTGCTTAGCCACTGAGCTACTCTGGATTACTGAGCAAGTCATTTCCTATCCCTTATCTTATCACCCCCATATTAGAAGTTAAGGCAATACGGCAAATACTTTCTAAGGTCTTTACATTCTAAGAGACCCAACAACATGCAAAATGCACTGATACAAGGAAAACATACTGATGTTTCTATACTAAAATGTTTCCCACAGTTGTGCTAACAAAATAACATTTCCTTACTAATGATAGAGGATGAAATAATGGTTAAAGATGTGGGACCAGCAGGTGGCATGATGGTTAAGGTGTTAAGATGCCCACATGGCTAACTACAGTTCAAGTCCCAGACCTGGTGGCTTGAAAATCACTCCAGGTGTGAGTGCAGGCATGTCCAAGATCCCAGAAGGAGAATGGAGGAGAAGGGATTGTGGCATGGCCAACTACCTTAGGGGGTGATTTCTCAATTTCCCTCTACAATCTTTCTCCAGCAAGAGCATAGGCACTATGACAAAAACTTAAAAATTAAAAATAAAGAGAGAGATGTTACTACTTTAAAAAATGGCCAGAGACAACAGGTGATGTGGTGGTCAAGGCACTGAATTCCCACATGGCCAACCATGGTTTGAATTCCAGGCCTAGCAGCTTGCTTTCTCACTTTCTTTCTCTCCTCTCCTGCCCTCTCCTCTCTGGTAAGCACACATACCCTATTGCAAATTTTAAAATAAGAATAAATAAAATTAAATAAATAATTCTTAAAAAAATCATGATCAAATTCTGGGTTAGAACCAGGCTGAAGGGAAAGGAGATAACATGGGGAAGGCGATGGAAGACACAGTGTTATCACTGAAAAGTCACAAAGGACAAGGTGAGAATGTTGCTAAGTACAAAAAGAAACAGAGAAAGTTGTGACACAGAGTTACACCCAGTTGTATATCAGACCTTCTTAAATTTCCACACAGATTTCCTCTTGAAATATAAAAGAACAAATATGATTTATACTGTTCTTTTTACTGACCTTTTAAACTCTTTTACTCCAGAGCATGAGAAATGAAAAGCCTGGATCACCAAAACTGGATCAAATCCACATTACAACATGTTCCTTGTTGACTGATTTTTTTCTTTTTTTTTTTTTTTGGTTAAGACATATCTCAATGTCAAATTTATTTAGATGAACTATTAAATGACATAGCAAGTATGCATTTTCTTCATGTAACATGTACATAAATCAAGACTTTGTCCATCCTCTGTACAGTTGATTTATACTATTGGTGTTAATATTATGGACA